TACTTGTGCATTAGCGAAAAAAAGCTTCTGAAATAAATATATGTAGTCTTGGGATCGATAATTCGAATGATGTGAGATGCGAAACTGACATCTTTCTCATTGTTTCGGGATGAAGGCAAATAAGGGTGCATGCTGGGTTGCATTTTGCTTACAAATTGGTACCCTGTGTTGGTTTATTTTCTGCTGATCAGGTGGCGTTTGCTTTGTTGACCGGGTTTGGCAGTTGGCTTGCAAGCGTTTCGTCATCATAGGAGGAGACATCGCACTGACAATCAGCTTCCACCTGATCAACAGCCAGCATACCAGAAAAACGTATCGGCACAACTGACCAACATGTTTTTCAATAAATCTCGAGGGAGGAATTACAGTGGCTAACTTCTGTGTTCTGCTTAACAGCTTATCAGTTTGGCTTACATAGAATATTTTTAGGTCTACCTCATATATCAGCCTGCATCGGCGATTCAACACAAAATATATATTCTCCTGAAGGGCTATGGAATAGCATGCTGCACGGCTTTCTGATATCCTAATATCACAGACATCCACTGACCTGCGACCTAGCAATCGAATAACAAACATGGATCGCAAGACCTAGCTAGGCATTTGGTTGCCCTGAGAAATGTATATGGAGCAGTCACCACTTGCTCATAGATACCGAGGTTGTAGTGCATTCGGCTTCGTTGCTGTCTGCACTAATGTACGGCACCGAGACCTAGATACCATATGACGACATGTTTGGAGTCTTGACTGGTTTTGCTTGCATAGTCCATGCAGAGTGGTTCGGACTAAATGGAATGACAGAGTATCCCACAGTGAAGTCTTTCGGAGATTAGGCGCCGTGTTAATTGAATGTAGTTTGATGTGAAAGCACTTCGCTGGTTGAACCACATAAAAGGAATCGTCGAGATTGGTATCCTACAACAAGCTCCCTATGGTCAGTTTAAGGATGTAGTTTGGAGTCCGGAAAGCCCGGAATTCCACTATTAGAGCAGGCATCAAGTAAGTTCGAAAAACCGCAACTTTCGTTTTAACGGGACGTTTTAGACTCACCTGAACTGCATGGAGAACTGATATCCAAGCAGGCTTGAGAAGCAATTAGAAAGCAATCTGGCCATTTGGAAGAGTATGAATCTCTTCGATGCAGCCTCATCTATGTGGTCCACCTGATGGACGTCACTTTCAGAATCCCTGGTAAACTTTTCCCGTTCACCAATGACCACTAGCGCGGCACTGTCATTCTAAGGATAACGGACACCAATAATCTAATATCACTAGGTTATTTAATACCATGTTGGCTGTTTGTTCATGGGTAGATTCCGGTAACACTTATATGCTGATATACCGAGGGAGGTGCGATATTATCCTGAAACTTAAAAGAATTGACGGATGAGACCGATAAACCGATGATGTGCATGTAAGTGGTTCAGGTTCCAGTTGTTATGCCATCATGTTGGGTCGGTCGATGGCTTGCCTCCGCACGTTCACCCACCTATATTACATCGGCGCCAAGGGCTCTGACGAAACTGTACAAATCCGCCGTGGATTCCTGGAACGCACAGATGTTCATTGGTTTATCCATTGTCGACTGGCGATAAAAGTTTCATACCAGCCATTGTTTGGGTATAACTGTTTATTTCAACACACCAAAAAATTCAGGCTAGAAGACAAATGAGAATACCAAACTTTCGCATTCCCAGCTAGCCTGCAAGTTTGTATCAAAGAAAAGGGAACCATCGCGATAAAAGTATATTCTAATGCTACCTCCTTTAAACTCCCTAATCAAGCAACATATCCTGGAAAGAAGCACTGTTGTTTCGCAATTTCCCGCACTGTGCACTCCCTCCTGTCGATAACCTTTACAATTGCGGGACAGAATCGGCTAAAAGTTGACAGAAAATGTATGTTCTGTTCAGATTGTCTCATGGAGCACTGCGACATAATGCCGAATAGGTGAACAATTATCACGCGATGAGGCAATGTCGGTGATACCGTATTTAATCCATGGTGTACTGAGAAGTGAAGTAAGGATGTACAGGGAGTAACAGCACTTGACCAGTTCTCTCACAAACAGAAATTGCTACAGTAACACTGAATGATGACCCAGGCATAAATTACAGACCTAATTACCTTCCATTTGGCGAAAGCCGTGGTAACCACAAACTGGCAAGGCGAATAGCGCCTTGAAATACTTGTACTGATGGCTAGCATGGAAATTCCATCAAAGGTAAATCATGAATTGATTGAACTCAAGCAGGAATCCGGGGAATGACATGGAATAACTGACAAATCACACTTGGCATTGTTTTGAAAATTCGGCTGTGGGTTGACACCCAGAAGACTGTTATGCGCTAGGAGACACTGTTAAGTTTGAGTTTCAAATTAGGGTATCCTAAAATAGAGAACCATGAGGCGGAGTATCCCTATCTGTTCAATGTGCGGTCTCATTCCGTCGGATTTACACCGGATAAAAAGACTTAAGTTGGATGTATATTCCGCTCAGCACAAGCCGTATGTGTTATTATCCGTTATGCATTAGTCTTCATTGGATTCGTTCAGCGTGGGTAGGCCAAGCCGAAAACGGATGCCAGCCCAACGTGTTGGATGGTAGACTGGTCATCGTCCAGGTGAGTACCACCAGCCAGTAAAAATCGTCATAACACTTCGAAATCGCTGTACTGATCGGCCAGCTGGAGAACGTTTGGAACCGCTTGAGTAAGCATAGCTTCAAAGGTTCGTAAACAATTGCCGGATTTGTTGTCATGTAAGATATTGCTTTTGACGCCAAAGCTTCGTCATGATAAATAAACAATCTTTCCGGCTGACGAAGTCTTCGTGTTAGAAGCGAAGCTTTGCCCAGTGCTAGATACACTGATAGTTTGTCAAACCTGTCTGGTGCAACGTATTGATGTTTTTGAGCCAAGTGTTCCCACCACTTGGATTTTTGGAGTTTTGAAATAAATTCTTCACGATCATCATATATGTCTTACCGTTCTCATCAAATTATATTCGGAATTTCGTAACAGTTAATCCCACTGAACAAGAATGAGGTTTTGCGAAAAAGGGCTGCTTTTACGATTTTGCCACATGAAGTAGTTCATAGCACTGTATGTGCGAAACTCACTAGTGCTCCAAACAAACTTACACAGAACAGTGCTGTTTACAATGTACACACGATAGTGTTCCGAGTTCTCTAGGTTTCTCGGCATACAAACATATGCAAAGGTGTTCACATTTGTACGAAAAAGTGATGAATTCTCTCTTCATCGGTCACCAGGCATGTGACCGCGAGGCCTTCTTGTCGTTCTAACCAAAATAAAGACATCGGATGTGCTGCAAGTAAGCGGTCCACTTAGGGCCTTGAATGAAATTTTCGTCAACTCTCGGTGCATGTCCAAGAATATGATTTATGTGGGGCATATAATAAACGGCACATACAAATAAACTGAATCAATCCAGTTATTCTGGGAAGGTCACCATAGACCTCCTTGGTTGACAAAGGCCAGCTTTCATCCCTTTCTTTCACGAAACATTCTGATCAAGCGGAAGCAACAAACAACCAGGTGGCTAGCTTCAACTCCAACTGGACGGCTTCGGTAACAGCCACAAGTCTACACAATACGTTCGCGGTTCACAGACATTAGTTGCCATTAAAAGTTACATTAGTGTTAGAGATCAGCGAACACTCCGCATCTGATTTCACCAACATCCTTTTTGCTGAATAGACTGTAGAAGGCTTTCGAAAAAGTCACAAAATAGCGCCTTATCAGGAATCGTCAAGCGGCTTTTTGACTCACATAAAACGGGGCTTTCAGTCCCGTTTCTTTCCCAATCACATAATCACAAATTATTCGTCTAAAAACCAAAATGGCTAGAATATGGACACAGGTAGATGCCGCGTGCTGTATGGGCGTAATAACACCGCGTCGCCCATAGCAAAGAGGAAAATATTGCAGAATATCGAGGCTACAGACTGGGTTTTCAACGGACAAAGCACAGTATGCGCTCTAAGGTAGCTTTGGGTAGACCCAACTTTGTTCTGGGCACACTATAAAGACCTGATTCATTTGATTATAACGGCTTCAACGAACTCCAAACAATTCCAGCCTCAGTAGGTTCGTTCCCATTGGGTCAGTTTTGGTATTGCGATCTCTACAGCATTGCGCGTCCTTCTTATCGCTGGACTATGTGTAGCGTAGCTTGGTACTGAGTCACTGGATGTTCCGAAAAATCTGCCACACAAAAAACCTTTGATGTGATCACCTAGAATGAGGATGAAACGTCTGCAGCGGAATTGTCCGTTTCGGTAAACAAATCAGTGGTCAGTCGTCTACTTTGTTCGCCCATTCTAAATCACCTTGTCCGGACAGCAGACTAGATTCACAGTACCGCACTACTTTTAAAAGTAGCTAGTCCACAGTAGGCATGTCTCAAGTCCTTTCCAAGTGAAGTCAGTTGGCCTTCAAAAACGAACTATTTGACCCCTAGGGAGGCGTTGTTGTTCAAACTTTGCGCATGTCACCTCCTACTCCATGATCTTCGCAATCATTAATGCCCTCTGTTATATGGGCCACAGTTATGTCCAGCTCACTGCCAGAATCACGAAAGTAGCTTATTATTGGAGTCGAGAGCTTGGCTGTCAATGTTTTGTTTTATTGTATGTTGTGAACCCTATGTGGGTTTCGACTACACAAGTGTGATCAACGTTGCCGATATTTCAGCAAGTGGAGGCAGGTAAGAGGCCAATTATTTGCGTTCTTCCTAAACTTGGCCTTTTGATACAACCTACGTGCAGCAGGGCAGAAAAGAATCGTACTAAAATTTCTGTTTACCTTCAATCTGATAAATGGTTTTGGTGAAAAAACCCTTCTGGAAGATCCTCTCATCGATCTTGGGTACATTTTAATTATCGCTACAGTCAACTGCGTCATTTTGTAGCTCCACATATGAGTAGAGCAGTTATTAAGAGCCTAAAAATCTTACAAAGTTTATTCCGTTTTCAGGTTACCGAGGCAATGGTGTATCTCGAAAAGAACAACTTCGTTCATCGGGACCTGAGGGCAAGCAACGTTCTCGTGAACAGAAAACACCAACTAAAAGTGGCCGATTTTGGTCTATCGCATGTATTAACCGATGCAAAGGAGTACGTTGGAACCACACGTAAGTTTTTTCGCTTCCAATGCGGCACGATTTTATATTTTGAAAGATGCTGACCTCGTCGAAATGGTAAAAATCTAATGTTTTCTGCTCTACTAACGCCTGAGAAGGAGAATCGCAGTTGAGATCTTTCTGCAACCCTTTGTTCACGGTTTCTTCAAATTACCATAGATAGTATATGTCACAGGGCTAGGTGATTCTGGTGTGGTCCGAAGTACTTGCGTGCTGTATTTCTGATAAATATTGGATTAGATTATGAATGGCTCACGAGAAAAGAAAGCTGCACAGGGGATATCTGTTTGCCTCATGCACACAAGACCGAATCCACTCAATGACTCGACATTCCATTGAAACTTACGAATCGCAACAAGGAGACAAAGCTCCCAGAATGTCAACATTTCCATTTCATCTCAAAAGTCACGTAGCAAACGCACTCACCTTGTAGCATGACTACAGTGTATCCTGTTATCCAGATTAATGCCTTTCATCAGTTTGTCCAGCAAATCATTACGGTATATCTTTTATTTGTCTCGGTAAACACCAATGATTCTTTTGGCCAACTGATCATGACCCTTGGTTTTGTAATCAGTTTTTCAAATGCGGTAGTCGTTTTGTGAAATTCTAGGATTTATTTTGGTTGTAATTCAGATACTTTTTTGACGAGACTATGACGATCCCCTCGGTTGTATATTCATGACGTTTCAGAAATTTTTCGAAGGTCTTCGACTTTAAGGACTCCAGTGGGAAAGAACATTAGACGTACAGAGGTTCTCTTCCAATGTACAGCTACCAACTTAACGTAATCGAAAAGTTTGGCGTCCAGTTCATCACCAACTAACTTGTATCCATAATATTTCCAGTTGAAAAATCCGCGAAGTAACTTGCAAACGATACCATCCTCCCTTTTCATACTCACGCCTAATTCAGAGAAGTTGGATCGTGCTAGTTGTAAAAAGCAGTCATAATTGTCCAAATGCATGAAGAGCAACATAAAAAACCTCTTTCAACAGCTTCATCCCATCCTCAAATAATATATTTCAAGAGGAAAGCCGGTGCATTCTATGGTGATTGGCAAAAATTTAGATGTCACCAAAGAAATGCATTGAAGATTTGAGCTGGATTTCCCCCCGGACGTTTCATGGGTGGGCGGTTCGAAGATGAAGTTTCATCTTCCAAGAGTTCGTTCAGTTTATCTATACTAAATGAACGGTGGTTCCACACTGTACACCCATGTTATATAGCAGCGTGTATTTGATGTACCCTCTTTCGAAACCAGACCAGTTAAGCTGACGGCCATGCGGTAGATGCTGCCTGTCGAACGAAGTGCCAGCATCGATTAACATGGTAAGGATGACCAGAGGAATCCAGTATGAAGGTTTGTTGTCATACAACCGGGCTTGACCTTATGCTAGCACCTTAATGTTCAAGTTCCCAATAAGTCCAGGCCAGATTCCCCACGGGATGCATATATCGAATGATGATCAGCTTCTATTTTCAAAAAATTAGGGACAGATGTACCGAACAACGATGTAGTTGTAGCTGAAATTCTACATTCATTAGCACAAGGATGCAATTCAATGAACTATGTAGAATTGGTGACAGTGAGCTGGGCAGTCTATAGGGCTGTGCTAACTCCAGTTTCTCATGTGAGGTCAGTCACACTTCTTCAGGAATTCTCACACAACTGCAATTATGGAATCCCCTAACAGCCAGTTGACAGGGAGTATCAGAGTGGAGGCTAAGGCCATGTCCGACGCTGAACCATACTGAGTATATTTTGTTAGCAGTCACAATGCACCGAATAGAGGGGAGGTGCACGGTCTCGTCTAAACTATTGGCGATTCTCAAAATCTAACAAGAACAAATTACTTTAGAATATCGCGTTAACCGTTTTGTTTACCGCCAGTAGTCTTAAGCGGTACAAGATTCATCGGCCTAATGACTAATTTGCTTAGCGATAAATTGTTCAACGGTGGATTAGTATGGCGATAATTAACTAATCAAACATTTATCTGCGGTGAGCAGATCTTCATAAATCGCTGCATCGCTGTACTGTCACGCTAGATGTCTAGTACATTTCTGGCACTGCTGTTGAACATTAGCGCGGTAGCGTCCCATTCAAGTAGGGCGGGGTTAATACATGTTTCTCAACGGATGGTTTTGTAGCTTAATCAGCTGATCTAAAAAGCCACAGGTCTGCCATAGGCAAGAATGACTACTCTGCCTATGTACGTAGTTCTAAATACATGCTCTTAATTGTACACACAAAGTGAGATGGACACATCTAAAACGCCCTCTTTAACAGATGGAAGTGACGATCATGCGGTTTTTCACAGGGAAACTAGGTCAGCAGCAGGAACGCACACTGGGCAGCACCCGTTTCAAAGACTTCAAACTTCTATCTGGAAAAAAATAGAGTTTACATTCGCCTACCTTTCATGTTTGATGACGTCAAGAATTCAATCGGACGCCGTCCAGGGAGTGTGCTGTAGTGTACCTTTACCGCGACTGACGAGGAGTACACGTCGAAAACGATCAGCTAGCCATTTCCGCATGTTAAGGCTGGCACTTCAGGTCAGTCCACTTTGTGTAATGCATGCAAATATGAATGTACGTCCGGAAGCGCGTATGCATATAGAAATATTATCCGTCTGCCTAATGAAACTCCTTCGCCACAGTCTTTTAGATCGGCTAGTAAAACAGGTGAACGATCCACTGCAAAACCTGTTCTCATAAAGGCTTTGTCAAGGGTTTCCAGGTAGACAAATATCAGAATGTCACTTACCCTAGACAGAGGCTGTGGTAATTAGACCTGTATATTCAGAAAAAATAGAGATTCATCTGGCTTTCATGAGGAGTATCTTAACATCAGAAGCATCAGACGTCCTGTACGCAGCATATTCAGTTAACGAATATCGTAAACGAGGTATTCAACTAGGATTCGGTGGACTCAGACTGTAGATTTTGTAGCCTTGTGTGTCTACGTAGGCGTTCCCTGTTATCCGAGATTAAGTGTCACCATTGAGTAATGCGTTTTTGGTGCGAGTCACTGGTCATTTATTTCCCTTTGAGTACCACTCGAGAAGAATTTTGATCGTCACTTGTCAACCCCGTCTAAGTCCTGTAGCCTTATACAAACGGATCGCCTGCCCATACTAGTCCAGAATGGCCTGGTCTTCAGTTGAGAAGTTTCCAGCGTCAGAAGACCAGATGACGGGGAAAGGATTCATCAGATTGTTTGAGGTCGCCACAGACGAAGGATAGGCACAAGTTTGTTACAGGTGACCAGTACTCAGATGGACATTAGCAAACTTTCCAAGGTCTGTCCTTGGAAACTCCTGTGATATCTGAAGTACTTGTGGAATTCCGGTTCATATATAGTATGGAGGAAGGTGATGTGCGAAGAACCGTGCTAAAACTGATACCCCAATTCGAATTCAATGAGGAATTCGCTTGGGTGAGTACACGCTCTCCAGCCTTCTTAACTTTTAGATCACGGTTAACTCACGCGTGCCCCAGAAAATCTTTCACGTCTTTTGTTGTTCGAGAGTATCCATGTTATTTGCTATATCCCTCATGCAACATATTTCGATGAACAGTTCACAAGAAATTTGAACCCCGTTACTTTCTGCTGGCTGATCGATTTGACATGTCCGAGCCTAGCTCCAGAGGGCAACGTGACGGCGTTCAGCTGTAGCGCCTTTCCGGTGCCCAGCTACCATGCCAATCAAAGGAAGTGCGAGGGTTGGGATACTGCCAGTTAGCCCAAGCCTATACAGAGTAAGTCGAGAAGCAGAGGTCGGGTTCGAACCACGGACCTTCCGGTCAGTATATTCGTGCTGTAACTACTGAACGATCTCGCCAACATGGTACCCCGACTGATAATCTAATTTTGGAGGCTTAATTGTGTAGTCGAATACAATCGAAAATTTTTTCGAACTTTTCTTGTTATTGAAGTGAACTGACCAACTGACTTTTGTTTAGAATGCTGAAAAAACACATGCATAGCTTTGAGCGGCCTTTGAGTTCCGCATATGCTGTTACAACAAATCTTTCGGCCAGAGTAAAAATATATTAGGGAAATAAAACACCCCCCCATTAGGTCTTAATTCGTGTGGATATCCTGACCTGATTAAGATTGTCACAAATAAAAAAATGGGAAATTGGTGACCAGCGGTCCAGTCTGACTTCGTGTCTGTCAAGATGGAAATACCGGATCTGCTTTTGAAGCAGAGGATTCAGACCTGGTTACATTAACAGAAACAAATCATTAAATTAAGCAGCGGCTGTACTCAGTACACTTGATGCTTTCGATACTACTAGGGGTTTGGTAAATAAAAATCGCTGGTAAAATGACAGTTTTGACGAGATTCGTGAACTCCTTCAACAAATTGTGATGAACGTCAGCTTTTTGTAAATTACTTGTGGTTTTTTATGTCGACAATGTTCAGCGTCTTCCTAGAGTCAACCACTAGATTGCGTCAAGACAAAACGCCTGGCTCTACACCATTACACAACAAGCCAATCATATTTAGATTGGATTTTTGAAGGATTGTTTGATTACAAAATAGCCTTGGGCTAGAGATTTGATTTCCTGAAAGAAAATGCATATTTCCAACATTTACCTTTGCAGAAAAGATAAAGAAAATTACAAAGAAGCAGCTCAGGATTCCAACTATTGAGAAAGGCCATTTTCAGGAAACAAATAACAGGGAGCTACGTAATTCCAAAGCGCATGGACAACGTTAGTTAGTGTAATGTCCAGTGAGGCTGCAGGGGTCACACACTGGTTTAGCCATCTAACAAATTTGTGATGACCGAAGATCTACAGATGGCAGAGTCTTTCATGGAAAACAGTATCTAGGTTACTGAGTTTAACGATCACACTGTATAGCTGCTAAGTCAGCAGCTATTCGTCGGATATTCTCCAGCCTTGAGATTCGCGCGAATTTCCGTACGGTTGGCACAGTACAGAGACATCTAAGTTGTGTTGTGTATCCAGT